CCCATGGCCGTCGGGAGAGCTTAAGAAATCGGGTGAGCACTTGGAGTCGGTTGGCGACAAGGGTGCGAGCACGAGCAAAGAACGCGCATCGTACCTTGATGCACGTAATAGGTCGAGGGTTCGAATTGGTGCACGGGTGAGTGACGACGACGCAGGCGACGCACGATGGTACGCATCGGAAGGGTCGGCGACGGAGGTTGGCAGCACGCGGACGGCAGCGGGCGTACGCGGGTGCACGATGGACGACCGGGCCTCGGAGACTGGCGGCACGCGTGGAGCAGCAGGCGATGGGCGTGCGGGGCGCGCTGGGCATGCGAGTGTCGATGACGCGGACAGAGGCATACGCTGGGAAGGACTAGGAGAGCTGGGTGCGAGGTGCCACGCACGAAGGGAAGGCGGTGCAGGTGAAGTGCGCGCAATACCGCACGCGTGCTCGGAGGGCGCGAGCGAAGCCGCGACCGACGAGGATTAGGTCTCGCGTGCGACGCGCGAGATGAGTCGGCGGGAATTTGGGGCGGCCGAGAGTTTTTAGCATATGAGGAGTTTGGAAGCTTTTAGATTTGTTTGGAGTGCAAGCCAAACAATTAGTATTTTAGTAATATTAGGATTTTATTTCCTTTATACTTTTAATTAATAGGTTAGAAGATATTCTAGCATTAGGATTTATTTTATTGCATAGAATAGGAGATCTTGATCTATTAGGCTTAGATTTATTTTGCAACTATAAATACCCATGTACCTCTTCATTAATAAACATGTCGAGTCTTGGAATTGATGAGTGAATCTCATAGGGGGAACTTGTTGTTCTTACATATGTTTAAACAAGGCCGTTAGTGCGTGTTTACATACAGTGTCGGAGAGAAGTCCATTAGAGCGTCTTGAAGTCAGGGTATCTAGGAGAAGGTCGTAGTGCGTTTGTTAGATACACCTATCGTGGATAAACAAAGGCCCTGAGTGCGCCGTTTGTTCACACCCAACGTATAAATAACAACACCGATCAGCGATCCTTCATCAGTGCGTGCGAACGTGGCATTGCGCACGCCTTGCAGCGACCGGGCACGCATCGGGTACTGGCTGGACGCGTGCGTGTGTCTGGAGCAACGCAGAGTCGGGCTGGGCACTGCCCCGCGCTACGTGCGCGGGCGCAGGCGCTGCTGGCCACTGCTGGGCGCTGCC